GAGAGAGAGAGAGAGAGAGAGAGAGAGAGAGAGGCTTGTCAGTGGTTTTAAATTTTCTTGAATCTTTATAGATTTAATGCATTTAGCCTTTTCCTAATTAAAACTTAAATATATCAATAAATAAATAAATTTATATATGCATAACGAGAGTTAGAGAAGGTTGTTAGTGCTTTTAAATTTTCTCCTAAAAAATTCTATATTCATTAGATATTTTATATGTTATCATTCATAATAGTTGAAGACGTTTTTACATTCAAACAACATATGATTATTTCATGTATCTAGTAAGTTTATAAGGTACGTATTCCTACAGATGTTGTTTTGCATAGACTACCAACATGAAAATTCATTAAGCACTGTATTACCACCTTATTGTAATTGTAATTTTAGGAATATTGGTTAGTGTCTTTCGTTTCTTTCGTTGATGGCTGCCTGATCTCTTCCGGTTGTTTTGTAGATCGGACAACATGGGTACGCTTGTTATTTTATTAATTTTGACAGTATTATGTTTATTAACAAAAAAATAAAGATTTTCACTTGCTGTTTTCAAATATATGTCGAGTTCGTTTTTATTATTCTAACGACGTTCACGGTTATGCGTATTAATTAGTTCATGTAAAAAAAGAAGAAGAGGAAACTTAAAACGTGGTTATGCCATTAATGCCGGAAGTGATAATCGTTTACAATTCTACTTATACATTTTCTTTTTATTTTTAATTATAATAAATATTTAGATTAAGCAATATATGTACATTTACAACAGCCGAATGTTGCTAATAAAGTAAATCGTAGTTTCATTAACATAAAAATATATTTTTTTCACGTTATTAATTAATACGCTAAACCTTTGCGAACCTTCTGTTTTAATGTATAATTTTATTTTGTACACGTTTTAAGTATTAAAAAATTGTTGAACTTTGCACGAAATTTTGAGGTTATAAATATATAACTTCTGACAATTGATTTATTATTTTAGGTAAACCTCGCGGTCTACGTACAGCTCGTAAGCACGTCAATCATAGACGTGATCAACGATGGAACGATAAAGACTACAAAAAAGCCCATCTTGGTACGAGGTGGAAGGCTAATCCCTTTGGTGGTGCATCTCACGCGAAAGGCATCGTTTTAGAAAAAGTGTAAGTTGGTATTAACTTAACGTATAAATCTTTTATAAAGAATGCAAAAGTATGTAAAGGCATTTGTTTAACAGAGGTGTAGAAGCCAAGCAACCAAACTCCGCCATTCGAAAATGTGTCAGGGTACAGTTGATAAAGAATGGAAAGAAAATTACAGCATTCGTACCTCGAGACGGTTGTCTTAATTGTATTGAAGAAAACGATGAAGTTTTGGTAGCAGGATTTGGTCGTAAAGGTCATGCCGTTGGTGATATTCCTGGAGTAAGGTTCAAGGTTGTTAAAGTTGCGAATGTCTCGCTACTTGCTCTTTATAAGGAAAAGAAGGAACGCCCAAGGTCTTAAGTAGATGTATTTTGGTTCAATTGAAATAAATATCAAAAACGTGAAAATGAAAATTATTTATTATATTAAATCATTATTACTGTATTATAAGGATAATAATTAATTACTTTATACAAATTAATTTACAAAAAAAAGCAAATATAATAATAAAAATTATCATAAATTTTTATTAAGCATATTTTGAGCTTGTTCATTTAGAACGAGATTATTTTTGATCGCTACAGTTAAAGGATTGATTATTTTTGATTTTTGATTTAGAATCTCTGGTAATTGTTGATTTTTCATTTTATCTTCATTTCTTAAAGTCTAAATAAAAAAAATTTAAATTAGCTAGTGGAACTTAATGCGGTATGTAATAAATTTTAATCAATTACGAACCTTGTTAATAGTTAAAATAGTAAAGTGAATATTTTTTATATCGGTACATAAATCATTATAAACTTCTAAGAATGAATTTGAATGAGCATTTTGAGTTTTAGAAAATGCTAGTTCTTTGAAAGCTGCGTTAAACCTTTGTAACACTGGCTCATAATTATCGATCTTAAGCTCGCTTAATTCACTTAACTCATCCTGAAAATTCAATTTTAAAGTTAGATTTTCATTCATATTGTATTTAAAATATGTAAGCTAATTGTAACGTTTAACCTCGATATCGTTATTTAATTTGTCCAAGTTAGATTTTTCAAGAGACTGTTCGTTTGTTAGAGCTTTTTGTGAGTCTACTTCTTCATTTACATCAATAGAATTTAGTTCACTTTCTCCATTTATATTTAATGATTCGTTATTAGAATACTTATTTATAATTTCGATATTTTCCTATAATTGATAAAAAAGGTAAAAGCCATTATTCATTTATTACTGAGAAATACAAAACAATATAAAAACTTACTTTCAATGAGATATTTGCGATTTGCTTTTTCTCTTCAGTAGTTTGCATGTATATATTTTTTATAAATAACACCAATAAAGCAAAGAAATGTAATTGTTTATCGATATCACATTTTCCCTGAATTATACAAGAAACAACACAAGGCAATGAAATTTTTATGTTATAATTTTATGTTATACAATGAAAATTACATACTTGTAAGATATTGATGTCGCTGCACAGTCCTATTTGTGAATAACACCTGAGTAGCTTATCTAAATTAAGCGAATTACAAAAATGTTATAAGTACAAAACTATAAAACTAACATTATACCAAAAAATAAATAAGCGCGCACGTACCCTCTAGGGTTTGATCCTTTAATTTGTTCAAAGACAAATTGTTAAATCCTGGACTGTTTTGAAGCAACCATTGCAACAAGCTAATTCGTTTAGGTCCTGTGAGAATTGCATTTTCAAATTCTTCAAAACATATCCGTGCTATCTCTGGATATCTCAATTTCTCTAATATATCGTACAATTCGTGCATCACGCATTCCTTTTTATTCACTGAAAGTAATTATTTTTCGATTAACGAAGTATCTCTCCCTATCTCTCTCTCTCTCTCTCTCTCTCTCTCTCT